GAGCCCGGCTCCCTGCGAAAGGTGGCCAGAGGGGCCCCAGTGGTACCGACTGTGCAGGAGGCAACTGACTCCTCTAAGGGAAAAGTGGTGACTACTCCGAGGTCGTGGAGGTGGCTGACACCCACCAGGTTCCTAGAGAACGAGGGGGTGTAGTAACCTGTAAGGACCCCAGAGGGAGCAGCCGGACACGGGAGAGTGGTGGTGCTGCGAGCAACCACAGGTCCCACAGAGGGGTCGGCCAAGGCAACAGTGACGGGGGTGCGTAGTGGTGTGAGGTCGGCGCGGTCACGAAAGAAACAGCTGGACGCCCCAGAGTCGAGTGTGAACGACAGGGACGCAGTCTCGGTGGTCGAACCTGGACAAGCTACGCTAGCAGGGAAAGCACTAGCAACCTCTACAGCACCTAAGCTAGAGAAACAGGAATAGTACACAAAATCATCAACAATAGAGTCATCGGCATACATCACAGACATAGAACGCACAGCCTCATCTAACTGAGGTGCAGTCATGCTATACAACTGCGGGCCAACAGAACGAGCCAGTGAGGCCCAATCGGGGACAGTGCGGGTGGGGCCAAACTGCGCACGGTAGCGGTCAGTGAGCTGTACAAAGCACTGACCCGGGGGGTGGAAGCGGCCACAAGGGTAGCCTCCACGCGGCCCAGTCAGCACCCTATACTGGCAGGGGGGGTGCTGGGCTGGACCACGCGACGTCCAGCTGGGCGGGCCGCTGCTGCTGACAGAGCTCCCGGGTCCAGGGGACCTCCACTGCTGCTGCGGCGTCTGCTGGCGCTGGCCCTGGAACTGCTGCTGCCGCTGCTGCTGTGGCTGCGGCTGCTGCGGCTGCTGCTGGTGAGGCTGCTGCTGCTGGGGGGCCCCACTACCTCCACCTCCACTGCCTCCTCCTCCGCCTCCTCCACCACTCCCACCCCCTCCACCTCCTCCACCACCACCCCCTACGCCACCTCCACCACCGCCCCCTCCGCCACCCCCACCACCGCCCCCTCCGCCACCCCCACCACTGCCACCACCTCCTCCCTTCTTACCCCCCTTCTTGCCCCCTTTGTTGCCAAGGGCAATGGCTGCCACCTCTGGTACAGTGGCAACAGACGCCGAATCGACAGGGGAAGCTAGGAAGGACGGAGCACATCCCTCAAAGATGGGGGGGAGGGTAGTACCAGAGGCAGCAGCAAGGGAACGGGCAAGGTCCTCAACAGCAGTGAGCCTCTTCTCAAAGAGGTCAATGGTGAGGGACATGGGGTTAACAGTGAGAAAGTGGTCACGGGCTGTAGCAAAACGGTCAGGGAGGCGGGTGGACAGCAAGTACAGTGTCATCCACATCGGATAAGGTTGGCGGCAAGTAGGGCATCATCAGGGGCAGCAGAACGGAGCTGGGCATCAAGCGAGCGCAAGTGCAGCACAAGGTCAGGGACGCGGTGAAACGAGGGCAGGTCAGGAAATAGGAAGGGCAGTACAAGCCGACCGAGGGAAGCAGTGGTTGGGGTGGAATAACGTTTGACGACAGCATCAAACAGGCCCTTGGCCGTCACCTCCTGCTCGAAGTGCTGCTGCTCTGTCAGGGGCAGGAGATCGGTGATGGCGAGCACTGTGGCGTCGTCCCGCGCCGCCCACCGACTGGCCGCCAGCTGCAGCTTCTCAAAGCGAGCTTCCTCTTCGTCCGACGGGGAGGAACCTAAGGGGTCGGGTTCCTTCGGGGCTACGAGTTTGCCCGTGGCATGGTCCAGAAGGCGAACGTCGTTCTCGATCCTACTCCCTAGGAAAAGCTTGAGTTTGCGGAGCCATCCTGGGAAGTCTACCGGCCTACCCTCAGGATCAAACGTGAGAATACGAGAAGTGGCCATGGGAGGAGGCCCTGGCGCGAGGGCAATGAACGGGCACGCTCGGGTGGGGTCTAGTACGTTTGAGAGCGGTACCAGGTGGTTCAGTGAGGTGGATAGCGGCTGGTTACTGGTGTGGTGACGGTAACGGGTGGGGCAGCAGCTCTGGCTGGTACAGGTGGGGCAGTGGGTGCAGTTCTGTGCGGTGCTGCGTGGTTCTGTGCAGTTCTGCCCTGTTCAGTGCGGTGCTGCACGGTTCTGTGCGAGGGAGAGTACCGGGTGGGGTAGCAGCTCTGGCTAGTGTGGGTGGGTCAGCAGGTAAGGTTCTGGGCGGCGCCGCATGATTCTGTGCTGTTCTGCGCAGTTCTGTGCGGTTCTGCCCGGTTCTGCGCGGTTCTGCACGGTTCAGTGCGGTTCTGCCCGGTTCTGCGCGGTTCTGCACGGTTCAGTGCGGTGGAGAGTACGGGGTGGGGTAGCAGCTCTGGCTGGTGCGGATGGGTCAGCAGGTAAGGTTCTGGGCGGTGTCGCACGGTTCTGTGCGTTTCTACGCGGTGCTGTACGGTTCTGGGCGGGGGAGAGTAACTGGTGGGGCGGCTGGGACGGGTGGTACAGCGGGCACCAGGTGGGTCAGCGGGGACGGGTGAGACGGTACCGCAGCTGGCGGGCTGTGCGTGCGTGCGGCTATTGCTGCGCGTGCGTGCAGCTATGGCCGCGCGTGCATGCTGCTAATGCCGCGCGTGCGTGCTCCTAATGCCGCGCGTGCGTACGGCTAATGCTGCACGTGCGTGCGGCTAATGCTGCGCGTGCGCGCGGTCGCATGTGCGGCTACGACTGCACGTGCGCATGGGCCTGCTGCGCGCTAGCGGGCTGGCGAGCTACGCACGGGGCAGAAAACGGGTGAGGCGCGGGTGAAAAAAAAAACGGGTGACGCTCTGGGCTAAACGGATGACGCGCTCAGGGCACTACGGGTGACGCGCGAGCTAAGGGGGGGTAGCAGGGCGCTTCGGGTATTAAGTGGCTACGTTCCTAGGTCGGGGCACGGGGCGGTGGGCCCATAGGGTCGACTAGCTCTATACCATGTCGAGACTAGAACGGGTGAAAAGATTGACTAAGGGAAACGAGATACAAGAGGATATAGCTAACCCTAGGAATATGAAATGGTACACCTAGACTAACAAAAACTAAACATATAAAATATATGTTGACATGTCTCTCAAGTAGACCCCCCCACGCCTGCGCCTGTTGAGGTCACTGGTGACTCCGGTCCTGCTGGGAGTGGTGCTGTCCCTAGGGGTGCGGAGCTTTGGGGTGCTGAGTCTGGGGGCGCTGAGCGTGTGGAGCCTGGGGGTGCTGCGTCTGGGGGTGCTGCGTCTGGAGGTGCTGCGTCTGGAGGTGCTGCGTCTGGGGGTGCTGAGCCTGCGTGTGCGGAGCCTGGAGGTGCTGAGTCTGGGGGTGAGTCACTTGAGGGTTCTGAGACTGCTGTTACGCGGTCTCCTTGGAGTAGCCGTCTTCGTCCGCGTGTGCCCCTCACCTCCCAGCAGCTGCACGACTGGTACGGTCGCCGTCAGCGTCGCACTTCTGCACCTCAGGGCTCTACTGCTGGGGGTTCTTCTACTGGTGTCGCTGGTCCCGGAGGTGCTCGTACTGGGGGTTCTGGAGCTGTTGGGGCTGGCGGTGTTGCTGCTGGAGGTACTGGAGCTGCTGGAGGAGCTGGAGGTTCTGGCGCTGCTGAGGGTACTGGGGCTGCTGGCAGTGCTGGACCTGCTGAGGGTGCTGGAGCTACTGGTGGTGCTGGTGCTGCTGAGGGTACTGGAGCTGCTGGTGGTGTTGGAGCTGCTGGAGGTGCTGGCGCTGTCAAACATATATGCCTAGTTATATCTAGGCTTAGTTTATGTGTTTATAGTTGTCTAGGCTATAGTGGGTTTAGCCTTAGGGGGTACAAAGTTTCTCTCGACATTCTACTTGTACCCCTTCCCTTTTCCTAGTCAATCATTCTCACCTAAGATTCTAACATGGTATTAAGAGCAATTAGTCCTAGGACCTAATGCTAATGGGCCCACCACCTACTGCCCTGCTAGCCTAGGCCCCGGCCCGTCGCCCCTTGGCGTCGCCCCTAGCCCCTAGGCTCGGCCCCTTGGCCCCGTCGCCTCGGCCCCGCTGGCCCCGTCGACTTCGTCGTCCGCGCCCGGCCCGTACCTAGCCCGTCGCCCAGCCCGTACCTAGCCCATCGCACGGCCCGTACCTAGCCCGACGCCCGGCCCGTACCTAGCCCGTCGCCCGGCCCGTACCTAGCCCGCGCTCGGCCCCGTCTCCTGCCCGCGCCCGGCCCGTACCTAGCCCGTCGCCCGGCCCGTACCTAGCCTGTCGCCCGGCCCGTACCTAGCCCGTCGCCCGACCCGTACCTAGCCCGTCGCCCGGCCGCGTCTCCTGCCCGCGCCCGGCCCGTACCTAGCCCGACGCCCGGCCCGTACCTAGCCCGTCGCCCGGCCCGTACCTAGCCTCGCGCCCGGCCCGTACCTAGCCCGCGCTCGGCCCCGTTCCTAGCCCCGCGCCCGGCCTGTACCTCGCCCGCGCCTGGCCCCGTACCTAGCCTGCGCCCGGCCCGTACCAAGCCCGCGCCTGGCCCCGTCCTTCGCCCAGCGCCCGGCCCCGTCTCTTGCCCGCGCCCGGCCCCGTACCTAGCCCCACGTCCGGCCCCATTCCGCGCCCAGCGCCCGGCCCCGTACCTGCCCAGCGCCCGGCCCCGTACCTGCCCAGCGCCCGGCCCCGTACCTAGCCCGTCGCCCGGCCCGTACCTAGCCTGTCGCCCGGCCCGTACCTAGCCCGTCGCCCGGCCCGTACCTAGCCCGTCGCCCGGCCGCGTCTCCTGCCCGCGCCCGGCCCGTACCTAGCCCGACGCCCGGCCCATACCTAGCCCGTCGCCCGGCCCGTACCTAGCCTGTCGCCCGGCCCGTACCTAGCCCGTCGCCCGGCCCGTACCTAGCCCGTCGCCCGGCCGCGTCTCCTGCCCGCGCCCGGCCCGTACCTAGCCCGACGCCCGGCCCGTACCTAGCCCGTCGCCCGGCCCGTACCTAGCCTCGCGCCCGGCCCGTACCTAGCCCGCGCTCGGCCCCGTTCCTAGCCCCGCGCCCGGCCTGTACCTCGCCCGCGCCTGGCCCCGTACCTAGCCTGCGCCCGGCCCGTACCAAGCCCGCGCCTGGCCCCGTCCTTCGCCCAGCGCCCGGCCCCGTCTCTTGCCCGCGCCCGGCCCCGTACCTAGCCCCACGTCCGGCCCCATTCCGCGCCCAGCGCCCGGCCCCGTACCTGCCCAGCGCCAGGCCCCGTACCTGCCCAGCGCCCGGCCCCATACCTGCCCAGCGACCGGCCCAGTACCTGCCCAGCGCCTGGCCCCGTACCTGCCCAGCGCCCGGCCCAGTCCCTGCCCAGCGCCTGGCCCCATTCCTGCCCAGCGCCCGGCCACGTACCTGCCCAGCGCCCGGTCCAGTCCCTGCTCAGCGCCTGGCCCCGTACCTGCCCAGCGCCCGGCCCCGTTCCTGCCCAGCGCCCGGCCCCGTACCTGCCCAGCGCCCGGCCCCGTCGCCCCTAGCCATGGCCCCTCGCGACCTGCCGCCCCTAACCGCGGCCCCGGTGCCCTGTTGCGCCATGGTGGGTGAGGGGGTGGCAAGAGGGGGTTCCTCCTGCCCACGTGCCCTTCAGTCGCACGCGCAGCTCCGCCCCCGCCCCCCTCCCCCCTCTCCCCCCCCTCCATGGGGATGGCGGGGAGAGGGGGAGGAAACTTGGAGGTTCAGGGGGAGGCAGGAGGGGAGCTGCAGCACCAGGTCCCCCACCTTTCTCCTACCTCCCCCTGCTGCGGGAGCAGCAGAGGGGGGGAGGGGACCTGCAGCACCTGCCCCCCCCCCCCCCCCCCCCCCCCCCCCCCCGCCCCCCCCCTTCTCCTCCATCTCTCTGCTGCGGGTGCAGCAGTGGGGGGGAGGGTATGGGGGTGGCGGGTGTGGCCAACCTGCTGTCACCCGAGCGGCTCCTGCACCGCCCCTTCTCCTACCTCCCCCCTGCTGCGGGTGCAGCAGTGGGGGGGGAGGGGATCTGCGGCACCAGCCCCCCCCCCCCCCCCCCCTCCATGGGGATGGCGGGGAGAGGGGGGGGAAGCTTGGAGGTTCAGGGGGAGGCAGGAGGGGATCTGCAGCACCAGGTCCCCCACCCTTCTCCTACCTCCCCCTGCTGCGGGTACAGCAGTGGGGGGGAGGGGATTTGCCTACCCCCTGCTGCGGATGCGGCAGTGGGGGGAGGGGACCTGCAGCACCAACCCCCGCCCCCCCCCCCCCCCCCCCCCTCCTCTCCGCCCTTTTCTCCTCTCCCTCCCCCTGCTGCGGTTGCCGCAGTGGGGGGGAAGGGATCTGCCATCCCCCTGCTGCGGATGCAGCAGTGGGGGGAGGGGACCTGCAGCATCAGCCCCCCCCCCCCCCCTCTCCGCCCTTTTCTGCTCTCTCTCTCCCTGCCGCACCCTGTGTTGGGAGGGGGGGGAGCTTGGAGGTGCAGTGGGGGGGAGGGGATCTGCAGCTACAGCCCCCCCCGCCCCCCCCCCCTTTTTTTCTCCTCCACCCCTGCTGCGGTTGCAGCAGTGGGGGGAGGGGATCTGCAGCAGCAGTGGGGGGAGGGGAGTTGCAGCATCAGCCCCCCCCCCTTTTCTCCTCCACCCCTGCTGCGGGTGCAGCGGTGGGGGGAGGGGATCTGCAGCCCTGTGCTGCCCTGCAGCCCTGTGCGCCCTACTGCCCTGCTGCTGACGCTACAGCCCTTGCTGCTGCCCTGCGCGCCCCGCGCGCCCTGCAGCCCTGCTGCGCCCTGCGCGCCCTGCTGCCCTGCTGCCCTGTGCGCGCCCTGCTGCCCTCTGCACGCGCCATGCACAGCCCCTCCTCCCCCTCCCCCCGCCACAACCCCCCCCCTCCCTCCCTTCTTCTTCCTTCCCCTGCTCCAGGTGCAGCAGTGGGGTGGGGGTATGGGGGTGGCGGGTGTGGGTGCAACTGCGGGGTGGCGGGTATGGGGGTGGCGGGTGTGTGAACCATCCCCTCCTCCTCCTCCACCTTCGTCTCCCACTGCTGCAGCTGCCGCTGAGGGGGGTGGGTGTGTGGGAGCCGAGGGAGTGGTGCTAGGGGGGTGACGTGGGAGTGGAGCTAGGGGTGCAGCAAGGGGTGTGTGAAAGGGGGGTGGGACAGTTATGGGGGAGGTTGAGCGGAGGTAGCCGTTGTGTCGCCAGCAGCGCCAGTAGTCCGGAGGCTACAATCTCCGGTAGCCCAGCGAGCCTGCTGCGCCAGTCGCCTGTGGGTCCGTTGCTCCTGCCGCTCAGAGTTAGCCGCAGAGCCAGTTACTCCTGTAGTCCGGGGATACGGCCCCGGTAGCCACAGTGCGCGCCGCTCCTGTTGCCCGTGTGTCTGCAGCATCAGCAGTCGCCTCCTATCTCCTCTCCTCTCACAGTCCAGCCTACTCTTCACTTGCCCTTTGTGAATGCCCCTAGCTCTGCCTGTACTGTGATCTATCTATATACCTGCATGCTTGCACTTGTTAGGGTATGATCACTGTATTGTTTCTTCTCTTTATATAACTCTGCATGTGAACTGGCCTTGTGGCCCTTTGCTTGTGCTCGGACTGTGTGGTGACTTTGTGATCCACCCTGAGCTTGCTTTGCTTTGCTTCTTCTCTTGACTGGTCTTGTGACCATTGCTTGTTCTGGCTATCCCCCACTTCGCCTAAGGGGGTGTGTCAAACATATATGCCTAGTTATATCTAGCCTTAGTTTATGTGTTTATAGTTGTCTAGGCTATAGTGGGTTTAGCCTTAGGGGGTACAAAGTTTCTCTCGACATTCTACTTGTACCCCTTCCCTTTTCCTAGTCAATCATTCTCACCTAAGATTCTAACAGGCGCTGCTGGAGGTACTGGAGCTGCTGGTGCTGGTGGCACTGCTCAGCCGCGTCTGTTCTTCACTCCGCCGTCTCCGTCGTCTCAGCCACCACCTGACTCTGCACTTCGCCAGGTTCTCAGTCTTCCCTCGTCTACTAGTCTTCCGTTACAGCCTGGCTCACCGCTGCCTGCTCCTTCTCCGTACACAGAGCAGACTGGGGGCCTTGCAGAGCGTCGTGAGCCTACGTCGCGTCCTGTCTCACCTGTCCGTTCCGGTCGTCGTGTTCCTCGTCCGAGCCAGCCGGCTGTCTCCGGCCCTCACCTTGTTGTTCGTCGTCCTTCCTCTCCTCCGTCGCGTGTTCCTCTACCATCTCCCCCTGCGTCCTCTCTGCCTGTCGTTGCTGACCCTGCGTCTGACCAGTTTCGTGCTGAGCACTCTACTGCCACGCGTCTGCTTGCCACTGTTGTCACTGACCCGTCGTTTGAGTCTGCTGCTGCGTCTGCCTTAGTCGCTGAGCTGGTTGACTTTGCTGCTCACTGTCGTCTAGACTACGCCGCCAGTCTTGTTGCTGAGTCTGAGTATGTCTGTCCTCCGTCCGTCAGGGGTGAGTGTGCTCTTGGCACGGACGTCCTTTGAGGACAGGCAGGAGGACCTTGAGTGTCTTGCAGCCGCTGCGCCTCATCTCGTGTCCATGCTGCTTGCCCCTGAGGGAGACCCGGATGCACCAGACATCCCTACCCCGCGCTCTTACGCTGAGGCGATCGCGGGTGAGTACTCCTCTCAGTGGCAGACAGCCATGGACGCAGAGATGGCATCCTGGAAGTCCACAGGCACCTACGTCGACGAGGTTCCCCCTCCTGGGGCGAACATTGTCAGTGGCATGTGGATTTTCAGGGTGAAGCGGCCTCCAGGTTCTCCGCCTGTCTTCAAGGCTCGTTACGTGGCTCGAGGCTTCAGTCAGCGAGAGGGAGTTGACTTCTTCCAGACCTTCTCCCCCACCCCGAAGATGACCACTCTTCGGGTGCTGCTGCATGTTGCCGCTCAGCGTGACTACGAGCTTCACTCTCTTGACTTCAGCACAGCCTTCTTACAGGGCAGCTTGCACGAGGAGATCTGGCTGCGCCGCCCTCTTGGCTTCACTGGGTCGTTCCCTCCTGGTACCCAGTAAAACCCGGCGGCCAGTCTACGGTCTCCGCTAGGCGCCACGTGAGTGGCACGACACACTGAGGACGACACTTGCGGCTCTTGGGTTTGCTCCGTCGACTGCTGACCCGTCACTGTTTCTGCGCACCGACACTTCGCTGCCGCCGTTCTACATCCTCGTGTACGTCGACGACTTGGTCTTTGCCACTGCTGACACTGAGGCTCTCGCCCTGGTGAAGTCGGAGCTGCAGAAGAGACACACGTGCACAGACCTGGGTGAACTGCACCTCTATCTTGGCTTGCATATCACCCGGAACAGAGCACGCCGCACCATCACACTGACTCAGTCACACATGGTGCAGCAGGTCCTTCAGCGCTTCGGCTTCACCTGGTCCTCAGCACAGGCCACTCCTCTGGCTACAGGTCACTCGCTCTCAGCTCCACCTTCGGACGAGTCCGTAGAGCCGAGTGGTCCTTACCCAGAGCTAGTGGGCTGCCTCATGTACCTGATGACCTGCACTCGTCCTGACCTTGCATACCCTCTTGGCCTTCTGGCTCGCTACGTGGCTCCTGGTCGGCACCGAAAGGTGCACATGGATGCTGCTATGAGGGTACTGCGCTACTTGTGCAGTACATCGGGCATGGGGCTCGTGCTTGGAGGACGGGGTGACGTTGTCCTCACTGGTCACTCGGACGCCTCTTGGGTTGACGACCAGGCTACGCAGCGGTCGTCACAGGGTTACACCTTCAGCCTTGGTTCTGGTTCAGTTTCCTGGCGTTCTACACGCTCGTCTTCAGTTCTCGGCTCCAGCTGTGAGGCCGAGATCTACGCCACAGCCATGGCTGCGCAGGAGCTACGCTGGCTCACCTACCTGCTGACCTACTTGGGAGAGCGGCCTCGTTCTCCTCCATTTCTGTACGTCGACAACAAGGCCGCCATTGCCTTGTGTCAGGAGCACAGACTGGAGCACAGAACAAAGCACATCGCTCTCCGTTACTTCCTTGCTCGAGAGCTGCAGCAGCGTGGCCAGCTTCGTCTTACTTACGTGGCCACTCGGGCCAACACTGCTGATATATTCACCAAGGCGCTTCCGCGTGGTGATCATCAGCGTTTCTGCACTTTGTTAGGCCTTGTGCCTACGCTTCCTCACTTGCTGTAGGCTTTGTTTGTACTGTGATCTATATATATACCTGCATGCTTGCTCTTTTAGGTAGATATCACTGTGCTGTTGTTGTTACATATATATCTCTGCATGTGAACTGGCCTTGTGGCCTTTTGCTTGTGCTCAGACTGCGTGGTGATGTTGTGATCCACCCTGAGCTTGCTTTGCACTTCCTACCTGGCCTTGTGACCCTCTTTTGTCCCCCACTTTGCCTATGGGGGTGTGTCAAACATATGTTTATATGTTGTAGTTTAGAAAGGCTTTAGTGGGGTACTCACTGTGGGGTACAACCCCTTAGGTTTCATTTTTGTACCAACACTCTCGACATTCAATACCAACTTTGCCTAGGATTCTAACACTCATACCATGTTGGGCTGAACAAAGCCCTTAGGATCCTTTCAAGGCTAAGACTTGGAGTAGTGATGTTGTAATTGCGGAAGCGTATAATAAACTTGTTGAACTATTGAACCACCTTGCACTAGTGTGTGAGAGCAGGATGAATTGATTAAAGCAAAGAGATACAAGAATATATATATAATTTACAAGGAATACGAAGAGGTGCGATTAACTGTTTTTGTTGTTGCGGTTCGATACAGTGACGACTCGGGCAACTGCTCAATACCGTGTCAGTTGTTTGTCCTTGTTGTCACGCTGTATTTCGTCAAGTCAAAGGTCGCTGACCTTTGACCTTCGCGTAACCTCCAGCTGTTACTTTCTATCACCCTCCTCGGTTGACTCGCCGTTGCTCTGCTGTGATTTGCCTCGTTTGTTGTCTTATTGTTTCGACACAACAGGAGCGTTAAATTACTTGTTTCCAACAACAACATGATCTGGGCCTACTTCGAGTCGACGCCCAGGCTTTCACTCCCACGCCAATCGGTAAATTCTCGAACCTACTCACGTTTTTTGTTATTTCGCATGTATAGGTTCTTGTTGTCCTCTGGTTGTACCAGTGCCCAACTTCGTGTGTGTATTTTCACCAGGGGTTCCCTCGTCGTCAACCTCGCATGCAAGGTGTAATTGCATGCCGTGACTCACGGCTCAGGGGGTTGTAGTTAGTAGTTGAAACGAGACAGCTGTAGAATGTAGGGCATAAATGAAGCAGCAATAATGTGACCCTTGTTTGCTGAATGTTGGTGCAAGTACTTTTTAGCGATTCTGATTGTTGCAAGTGTTTTGAGCAATTCTGATTGTTGCAAGTGTCTGATTCTGGTCATTGTTTCTAGACATTCATACGATATTAAACACTAGGGAGGACGAGTATTTATATACAGTACCAGAAAATCCAAATCATAATCTAAACCTACGAAATTCAGTAACTAAGGTGCTGGTTTTGGCTTGGATTGTTCTATCAGCTTCTTCAGCTTCGCCTCTGCTTCACTTGATATCAAGCAAAATTGCTTTAGTGGCTCTGGCAGTGAATCGTGTGCACTCCACCACCTCTTATGAGCCGCCTCATTAGTGAAGTCGAGAAAATAGGGTAGTAGAATGTTGCAATCAAACTCACGATAACACCACCATGGCTTCATACCAAGGTAGTGTATAGCGTGGATTTCTGAAGGGTCTTCTGAAAACCACCTGCTTTTCATATACACGAGAGCTTGTTTCTTCACTGGGTCAGAGGTCCAGACCGGTTTGAGAATGTTTATGGAATCTGGGACGCGGTGCCACCAGGTGAAGACATTGTTCAAGAAGCCCTGGGCAGGGGGGAGTATGAGGGAAATTGGTGGAAAATAAAATTAGTGGAATTGAGGGCCAAGAGAAATGACAGTCAACTCAGAATGATTTACACCTTTGCTGCTGGGACTGCAAGAGTGATGTAAACTGCGATGGGGTGCTAGAGAGTCGCATCACAACTTGGTCTCACCTGGCTGGTCCCAGTCGTTAGCCGATCGCACTCCTTTCAACTTCACAACAGGCACTCGACCAAAAGAAAAAAAGAAAAAAAAAACAGACAAACAAACAGTTTGAACCTTCACAGTTCAAAGTACAAGGGTTGCTTCCGCTGAAGAGGGTGATAGGGAGTCGCATCACATGACATAACAACATGGTCTCACCTGGTCCCCTCCATTCTCCGATCGCACTCGCTCTAGATTTGCCATCAGCAGGTCAAACATGCAATCCGACGGCTCCAAGACCATCACGCCTGAGTTGAAATCTGTGCCGTCGTTTCCGCGGGCGGAGATCTCGGGGTAGGAGAAGAGAAAGTCAATGCTGTTCAAGAGGAGCAGGTCCGAGTCAATAAAGAGCAGCTTGGTGTACTCCGTCTGCTGCCACAGCCGCAGCTTGCTGGGGGGGGGAGGGGGGAGGGGGGGGGGGAGGGGGAGGGGGGCGTAAGGGGTCAATGGAGTCAACGAGAGTCAATGAAGAGCAGCTTGGCGTATTCCGTCTGCTGCCACAGCCGCAGCTTGATGGGGCAGGGGAACAGGTGGGAGAGGGAGGGAGGGGATTTAGGAGAGGTCAATGGAGTCAACGAGAGTCAATGAAGAGCAGCTTGGTGTACTCCGTCTACTGCCACAGCCGCAGCTTGCTGGGGTGGGGGGTGAGGGGGTCGAGAGGGTGGGGGGGACGGGGGGGAAGAAGAGTCAACAAGTCAAAACGAGTCAGCGTATGTCAGAATGAGTTAACAAGTCAAAAAGAAGACAGTGGCAGAAGTCATATTAACCCACAGAAGCAAATGAATTATAGATTGAATGAAATTTTGTGCACCTGGCACAAAAAAAAACATTTACAGGTCAGATGAAAATAATAAAGCTAATCGTGATTTAAAAGGAAATAGGTGGGTGAAAGAGGCACAAGATTCACTAAGAAAAATATTTCAAGAAAAGACCAACCACAGATTTTTGCCAATAACAAGCAAACACAAGTTGACCCCCACTTGCTATACGCACACATACCTCTAGCTCCACTCGCTACAAGCACACAAACTTGTAGTTCGGTACAAGCACACGGGCTTGTAGTTCAACTCGATATAAGCACACAAACCTGTAATTCCACTCGTTATAAGTCCCATTGAGTGCGTGGGGGTTGCGAATCCTCTCAATCTCCTTCACCGTCCACCCCGCCTCCTTGAGCCCTCGCCTGCTCCCCTCTTGAATCTCCTTCGATACAAGCACAACCATCTCGTGCGTGCTGCCCGTCCTCCTTATGCTTTGCCCCAGTACTATTGCGCCACACACGTAGCGATCCGACGAGTGTAGCACTGTAGCATACGCGACGCGCTGGTTGGCTGGCGGGAGGGAAGAAAGGGACGCACGTGGAAGGAAGGAGTTCAATTATGAACGGATAAAGGTACGTTACTGTGCATGCAGCGCAAGTGAGAAACATAATGACAGCTTATGACTCTGGTGACTTTTGAGTCGACTCGAAAGTCAACTCGTTACAATGGCACAAGAGAGAAATACAATGACAACCTATGACTATGCCACTAACCTCTCGTCTCCTACCTGCCACCTTGCTGTTAATAGGCTGAGCCATGGCGCATGATCCCAGGGGCTGTACACGTGTCAGCATGTCACTGGCCGTCAGGTTGTACAGCCACGTGTCCCCCTCCCGCGTCACGAGTCGCGAGCAGTGGAAGAGGTTGGGCGGCGGGCGGCATGCGGAGAGTAACACCACTGGTAACCACGTGCGATTCGCCTGTTACAGGAGAGGTAGTACAAGGGGATTGGACGAATAAAGGCGGAGGGTAACACCACTGGTAACCACAGCTGGCGAACTTGGAACAGATGAACCGAGAGAAGGGTTTGCTGAAATTCAGCGAGCCTTTATTTAGAATGAAGGGGAACGGATGAGACGACACGAGAGTATCGTCACTGGTAACCACTGGTGAGTTGCCACGGTACAGGGGGGATGGGAGAGAATGGATGAGACGACACGTGGATAGCAGCACCACTGGTAACCATCCACGGGCGGCGAGGCTGCTACAAGATCGAAGAAGGGGATTAGAATAAAGTAGTACCCTTATGACGAAGCTTGTTATAGTGAGAAGGTGGTGTAGCCAGCGAACATCCTTCGCCCAGGAATCGCTAGGCTCGTCGCAGGGCACATGTGCGACAATGGCGTCGATGCTGGTCAGCCAATCTGGATAGCTCGGTTCAGGAATTTTTGGGCAGGATGCGTCGGTTTCGTTTACCCATACAGGGTACACGTCACTCCACGTCAGATTCTCGGACACACGCGGAACAGGCAGCGAGAGAAGTTTGTAGCGCGTGGCGACGGAGGCGCTGGTAACGGGGGGGTCGAGATTGAACGTCGCGACATTGGCGAACGAATAGCGACCTTTTTGCTGGAACGAGATCAGGGCGGCGAAAGCGCGATCGAAAGCGACGAGAGGGCCATCCCCTTCAGGCGGGGGCTTAGCCGACGGGGATTCAGCAGGCAAGGATACAGTCGGTGGGGATTCGGCAGGTAAGGGTACAGCCGGTGGGGAATCAGCAGGTAAGGATACAGCCGGTGGGGAATCAACAGGTAAGGATACAGCCGGTGGGGAATCAACAGGTAAGGATACAGCTGGTGGGGAATCAGCAGGTAAGGGCACGGCCGGTGGGGATTCAGCAGGTAAGGATACAGCGGGTGGGGAATCAGAAGGTACAGCCGCAAATCCTTCCTGGTAAACGCTCCCCGAGATATTAGCACCGAAAGGGCGGAATGCCGCCGTTAACTTAGCATGATTGAATGTACTCATATCGAACCACTCAATAGGCGAGTGCCATGTGGCAGAGTCCTTGAAGAAGTGGAAAGTTACGAGGAGTAGACCGAGCGCCACGAAGAAGCAGCGCGCCGCTAAGAATAGCTTAACTTGAGGCGTGAGATGCGGCAGGGAATCTAAGGAGGTCGTCACTGGGTGGTATGTTGAAGGAAGCGCTTCGGCCCCCTTCGGTGCACTATGCGCAGCACCGTTGATCATTGCGAAGAGGGTGATTGAACGGCTCAATAGCACTCCGTGAGAAAATCTTTGGGGAAAGGACCTAGCACAGAGCATTTGAGCTGAGTCGAGAAAGTTTTGGCTGCCAGCGATGCTACGGCAAAACGCACTCGCGACGGCAATCCAGAAGGTAAAAGTAGTCACGAGGCACAACACGCCTCACGAGTCATGACCCACAACGAAGAGCTTCGTGATCTGTGTTCTTGTGCTGGGGTTCACACAGGCACCTTTCGTGTTGTGTGTAGGTTCGGGCGCCTTTTGGCTGGGGCTCGATTTGGGCTCTGATTGGCTGCGAGGTACGACAAAGCAGTAGGGCGTAACAGCTAGGTCTGCGGGTGAGAGCAACTCGCTTCGCATGGTTTCGTTAGCCGAACTGCAACCTTTTCGCCAAGCATTAAAATTCCCAAACCAGCCTGCAAATTTCGGACAGAAGGGGCCAGCGCCGCACATCAACCAGAATCCCTCGCGTGGCACGCTCTCTGGCCTTGAGTGTGATTAGGCTCGGCAAACGCGACACGTTTGTAGGGGGAGCTGCTGCTTGGCTTGGCGCCGAACCTGTGGGTGATGTTTGATGGTACGGCGAGGCGATGTCCAATAACAATGCCCGATCGCACTACAAATTCGCACTAGGTTCAACAGGCTTGTGCTTGGCAACCATCCTGGTAACCAGACTTCTCAAGAGCTTACGATGTTTGTAAGGCTTCCGCTCGTGCTGAAAAAAATCCCCTCGCGAGTGTCACCCTGGTTTGTGTCAATTGCTGGAGCTGACATGACGCTGCTTCCGCAAATCTGTCGTAGCAACTCTAATATACAGTTTCGCTTTTACCGACTTTCGTCGATTTCGAAAGTTTTGGTCACTCTGCGTAAACGCATCCAAACCCTTTTTAAGTCTGTAAACTTCGTTTCTCTGGGTGTTGTTGTTTTTGAGCTTCTGACGCCATTTCCCAAATTCCGAAGCCAAATTCCCGAATCCCGTAGCGCTTGCTTCCACCTGATCTGAGGCGGTAGGATCGAGAGCGACCGGGAGGGTTTTTTTTCGTTATCTTTGCTATCGATCGGAACGCGGCGATGGCGGCGGCTGCGAAAGCGATTCGCCCGATAACGTTCGTGACGGGCAATGCGAAGAAACTGGAGGAGGTGAAGGCGATCTTTGGGTCGTCCGTCGCCCTGCGAAGCCGGAAGATTGATTGTGAGTCGCCCTGCGACGGGATTAGTACCTCGGCGACAGGAATAATAGCTCTGCGACAGGAGTCGTAGCAATGGCCACGGTAACTGCTCTGCCGCGAAACCGGTTTTTCCTTCCCGTAGTTTCTAGATCCTTTTACGTCCCAGAATTTCCGGGTCCGAGCGGCTTTTTTAGTCGACGCATAAGACCGTGGCTTATAGCTTCTCTTGCAATCCAGATTTTCCGTGTCCGAATGAGGAAGGGAGCTATTGCTTCCGCAGTGCTGCTGTGAACCCATCTCGGCTCGTCCTCTCCTTCATAGCGTCTGAGCTGCAGCCGAGTGCAGCTCTCAGAATCTCCACAATAAGCCTTAAGATCTTTAAGACGTCTAAAAAAAACGTTTTTTTTTACCCTCAGTTAATATTTACGTTCTCCACCCAATCGTTTCACACTCTCACCACGTTCTCTCCACACTTTCTCCACACTCAATCCACATTCTTATCACACTCCCTCCTCACTCCCGTCCATGGCAGTACCAGAGCTACAGTGCGAGCCGTAAGACATCTCAATAGAGAAAGCCAGACTTGCCGCTGACTGCTCCCCTTTCTGCTGCTCCCTCCACTCTCCACACACCCTCCACCCTCCCCTCCATGGCAGTACCAGAGCTGCAGGGCGAGCCAGAAGATATATCCGAGGAGAAAGCCAGACTCGCCGCTGCCAAGGTCACTGCCTCCCCCTTCTGCCGCTCCCCTCACTCCGCCCTCTCCACCCCCTCCACTCTCTCCTCAATCTCCTCCATGGCAGTACCAGAGCTGCAGGGCGAGCCGGAAGACATCTCCAAGGAGAAGGCCAGACTCGCTGCAGCTAAGGTAGCTGCCTCCCCTTCCGCCTCTCTGAAATTCGCTTCTCCTTCTCAATATACAACTTGCTCGTTCCCGACACCTTCCCCCTTCTCTCATCTAGTTGCATGCTCGGTCCTTTTGATGTGCAACGTTTGATGTGCAACGTTTGATGTGCAACGTTTGTTTGGATTTGTAAAAAAAAAACGATATGGTCGTATTCACTGGCCCGCACTTGCGTACAGAAATCACTGGCCTGAGAATTCTCAAAAGTGATTTCCATGGTCGTCTTCACTGGCCTGCACTTGCGTGCATTTTGTTCCGTGTGCCATGGTAGCCCGCGTATGTGTGTTTCCGTAACGTGCGTGTGTGGTGTTTCCTGTAATTTTAACGTGCCTGTGTGTGTGACGTTTCATGTAAATGTGACAGGTAGACGGCCCAGTGCTTGTGGAGGACACGTGCCTTTGCTTCAATGCACTCAACGGCCTGCCAGGTGGGGAAGGCGACGGGGGTGGGAGAAAGGGGAGGGGAGAGTGCGGAGGGGGGAGGGGAGAGGAGGAAGGGGAGAAGGGAGGGGGGGGGAGGGAAGGGAGAGGGGAGACGGTTGAAGGGAAAACGTGGGGAAAGGGGGAGGCATGAAAGGGGAGAGGAAGGGAGCTTCGAAGCCCTTTGAGTTGGGTTCTGAACTTCTGACAAGAGGGAGAGGAAGAGACATTCAACTTCCACAGATTGCATGGGACCACTTGTTATTGCTACCTTTCCTGTTTGTTTCCCACTTTCCCTGTTCCTCACCTTGATCGTTTTCCACTTTTATTTTGGCCTCCTTACCTCTGTCATTCGCTCACTTCTTCCTGGTTCCCTCTCTTCCCCAACTTTGTATCTCGTGTGTCTACATGTCGATTTACTCGTGTCGACTGTTGCAGGACCATACATGTGAGTCACACTATTGCCGAGATGTCTTTTGTGTCAGCTCACATGCTAATTTGAGACGTCTCAAAATATGTCAGCTCTCAAAATATGTCAGCTCTCAGAGTATGTCAGCTCACATGCTAATTCCGTGCATCCAAGAAGACCCATGTCTCAAGCCACCTGCATGCATGTAAGGCGCACACTAGCTGGCTTTGTCGACTGAAAGCAAGCTGCTTTGTCTGCAAGTCACCGCAGTGCTCTCCCCCCACCTCCCCCCTTCTGCGTTTAGTCTGAAAGAACTTTGATTTATCAAAGCCAGCTGTCGCATTTTGACTATCTGCTTCTACTTTCACTTGTGACTGCTTTTCTCAGCCTTTTTTTTCTCTGATTTATTATGTTTTCGTGTGGGCTGAAGTGCGAGGCGTTTGTGGTGGTGTCATGGTGTTGTGGCGTGTGGTGTGGTGCATGTGCCTTGTGCTGATGTTGCGAGTTGACTGCCTGCTTGACTGAATGGTTGATTGAATTGTTTACTAAATGCTTGAGTGAATGCTTTACTGCATGCCTGACTGCCTGCCGGATTGCATGGTGGACTGCATGTGTGACTGCAGAAAGTGGTTTCTGGACAAGACCGGTCATGAGGGTATGGTCTCCAATCACATGCGCTCATTTTCTCACACATGGTTTTGTGGTTTTCACGTATACTCGTAGTTTTCACATGCAGTCTGTTTTTCTTCCCTTGCAGTCACTCGTTTCACAAACATTCACCTGTTCCCATTAGTCTCCAGCTTTCTTGTGGTGTGTTTTGAGTCGTGGTGTGTTTTGAGTCATGGTGTGTTTTGAGTCGACTCAAAACAAACATTCAGCTGTTCACACTTGTCTTCAATTCAAACCTTTGTCGACACTTTTCTAAAAAAAATACTACACAGTAGATAATCACATTCGGTGGTTCTATCGCTCACCTCCAAACTGCACACAGGGACAAGGAGGGCCGACCTGTGTGTGCTCTCTTTGAACGCTCCCATCGCCCTCCCACCAGGCCTGAACAATCTCCTGGCAGCGTATGAAGACAAGTCCGCCTATGCCCTCTGCATCTTCTCCCTCTGCCTGGGCCCCCAGCATGAACCCCTCAGCTTTGCTGGACGGACAGAGGTATGAGATACGGTTTAGAAGGGTGTTAATGGAGGTAAGCATGAATCCCTTAGCTTTGCTAGAAGGACAGAGGCAAGGATGGAGGTGTGGCATATGGTGTAGAGAGGTAAGGATGGAGGTGTGGCTTATGGTGATGGTGTAGAGAGGTAAGGATGGAGGTGTGGCATATGGTGTAGAGAGGTAAGGATGGAGGTGTGGCATATGGTGTAGAGACGTAAGGATGGACATGGGGTAGAGAAGTGGTGCAAGCTGCAGGTAGGGACCAAAATGCATTCTGTAGTGTGGTTGCCAAAAGGCAGCAGGGGTGAGTCAATAATGAAAGTTTATCTCACCACTCCGCCTTCTGCTCCCCCTCTTCCCCCACCCCCTTTCGTCCTCCTTACACACGCACACGCACACACATACGCATGCACTCACCAACACATCTCCACCCACACACCCACATAGATGAAAGTTCTTATCTGTATTCCTTGACTTAATAACCAGCCCATATTTCTTTGCCGTTTTGTCCACCAGGGTAAGATAGTCCCTGCAAGAGGCCCTAAGGATTTTGGCTGGGATCCTGTGTTTCAACCTGATGGTTTTGAGGAAACGTGAGTTCTGTCGTAAGTTAATTACTTTATGGTTGCAAATGGGTGTCCATTTCCTATTCTGTGTTGTGCTTTTGTTGGTTTATGGTCTGATCAGGGTTCATTCACGCCATGTCTTGCCTGTTTTTCACTGTGGCAGTTATGCAGAAATGCCGAAGGAGACCAAGAACGAAATATCACATCGACGGCGGGCACTTGACCTAGTAAGGAAGCACTTTCAAGAGGAGAAATTCGTCTTTGAGGATGTGGACGACGAGCAATCACAAAAAAAGGCACGGATTGATTCGTAGGTTAGTGATTCATTTTTTATGTTTCGTTTTTGTTTCTTAGAGAATGGCAGTGTCAGCCAATGTGTAGAAACAAAATAATGCGAAGTGGCTCTTCACTGTGTAACAAGTAAAAAGGAACTGCTCCAATCTGACGTTTAGCTATTATTGAGCAAGAATGATCGGTGGTGTGGTATACACCTTTAGCTTGTCTCTAAGGTTTTCCCGCCAGAATTCCAAATCTGTCGAGGCGTCAGTCAGTTTGTGGATAATGTGGCGGTCCGGGCAAACTAACTCTCGAATTTGCCGTTCAAATTCCACCTTGTGCAGCTGTCTTTCAATCACCGTGTCAAACGGTCAACAGTGTCTGACTGCCTGCTACTGCTAAGCGCATATTCCTGACTGTCCGACACGGTTGTCTTCCAATCAGATTCGCGATGTCATGCAGCCGTCAAGTCTGACGATTCTACTGTCAATCAGCATGAACCCCAACAATCGGCCCTGCCTGATGCTCCATTTGTCCATCAGCTAACTCTAGAAGAGCATGCTGTGAGGAAATGACTGCTTTGCTGACACTCCAGGACACTGATACAGTTGTCTAGTAGAGTTTTAATGACAGGGACCAATGGTTCCTGAGGAGTGGTGAGCAAACCACGTCAGTAACGTTAATGCGAAGTTGCGCAGCTTCGTTACGTCAAGTTTCAAGTGGGATAGCGTCATTCGTGTCGGACGGAGCGGGCTTGAAGTTTTGGATACTCCGTTGCCTGTCATAGCCGTGACATCCATCATCATGTGGTTAGCGAGCAAACCGATGGCTTCGTAGTTGATACGACGGAATAGCCAATCTTTGTAGCTACGTTACGTCCGTCCAATCAGCGTCCTTCAACCATTCCTATAGTCCACAATGGGAAGACATGGTGGTGACATCCTCTGTCATGTTACGGTACGCAAGGAGACTGGAGGTGCTCCGTGGATCGGTGGTTGGACGTACTCGTCTGTGCCTTGCAGCGCCAGGAACACAGGAAGCGACGAGACTAGATATTCGACAGATTCAGTTTGTGACAACTTTCCGGCAGAATCTGCTCCTGAACCAGTGACACCAAGTTCAGACATGCTAGAAATGAGCAAGGACGATGCATCCGTTGTAGCTGAAAAGAAAGTCGGATTACCGACAGAGGTCGCCGATTTACTCGTTAAGAGAGACGAGGAATGGAAGAAGGAAGTTGCGAAGCTTCTAGCAGAGACCAACAGGCTGAAGCTGTCGAAGGACCAGACGATACGTACACTACGACATCGCGTTGAGGAGGAACGGTCGAGGAATAAAATCTTGAAGCAAAAAGTATTCGAGCTGGAGGGAGGGAAACCGGGCACTTCGGAAATACCGCTGGAAGATTTTGATGACGAAAGAGCTACGCCGTCTGCTGAAAGCAATTTTGCAACAGGGGATGGCCGTTGTCAGAGTTCTGCTTCTCGCTCACAAGCCGAGCCTCAATCTGCTGTTAGCTTGACAGTAAACAAGACCCTTCACAAGGTAAGTTACACATTGACGCGTGAACGGACATTCAGGATGTGCATCCGTCCCTTTCGGTCTAATCGTTTTTCAATGTCTCACGTGTTCTCTTGAACGTTTCAGGTTGATTCTAAGGACGCGGAAATCATTGCTAATCTACGACTTGAACTTACGTCTCTTAATTCTCATAAAGAGACACTCACATCTGAACTGGAATCACTTCGCTCCGTTCTAAACAGCGAGCAGCAGCGAATGAGAATTGTGGAGCAGCAAAGGGATGAGGCGTTGGAGGGAGCAAGAGAAGCAGAAGTAGCGCTAGGCATGGCTGAGCGAAAGCTCCAGGAACAACATCAGCAGATCCTGAAAATGCAAGCGGAAGGTGATGCAGAAGGAGGCTGGCGAATTAAAGGGCTTGTTCCAGCATCACAGGTAAAAATAGACACCTTCAGCAGCATTTTTTATTCCACTGCTCCGCGTTTTGCAATAATTTCAAGTAGGTTTATTGTCCCCCAGCAATGTTCCACCTCCCTTATCTCCGTTTCATTGTCATTTGCAGCTAGACGAGGCTCAGAAGCTCATGGGGGATCAGCTCAGTGAAATTTCAGCGCTAAACAGTCAGCTTAAGTCTTTTAAGTCTTCTTCTGAAGCTCAAGCGTTGCAGCTGAAGACTGTGGAAGGCGAGCTGGCAGATAATGTTGACAAGGTAAGACAGACGAAAGAATCGTTGGTGGTGGTTGAGGCTGAAAATAACCATTTATTAATGGAGAGAAACAAGCTGAAGGATGAGGTAGGCCGATTGCAAGCAGAGATTGTGGACCTGACTGCCTTGAAGACTGCTGGCGAGGAAAGGGAGAGGAAAAACGAAGTGGTTATTGAAGATTTGCAGTCACGGTTTGTGGAGATGGAGAGGCAAAAGGATGAAGCTGTGAAAGAGATCGAGAAGGTGTTAGGAGCAGTGATCTCGGAGGTCCAAGAAGAGAAGGAGAAAGTCGCAGTGGAGCTGGCAGAATCTAGAAACAAGGCTGAAGAATTGGGGAAGTGGGTATCAGAGCTGAAAGCGATGATTCAGGAGATGCAGTCTAAGATTGAAGAGATGCAGGGAGCTGCGAATATGCAGGGCGCTGAGATCCATGCCTTGAGAGAGCAATTGCAGGCTGAAGAGCAAGAGGTGAATGTCAAGGAGAAGCAGATTGCAAAACTGACTGCTGACACTAAGACACTGAATGAGTTGATGACCAAAGCAATGGAGAGCAGGCAAGGCATGGAAGTTCACCTGGAGGCGAAGGGGAGGGAGGTGGAGGAAATAAAAGGCGGACTGAGGCAGGCAGAAGCAAAGGTCGCAGCGCTGGAGAGGGAGCTGTCATGGAAGGACGGGAGGCTCAAGGCCGTGGAGGAAGATGCTCAGACGAAGCAGCTGCAGGTAAAGCGATTGGAGGGCCTATTGGTGGAGGTGCAGCAACAGGTGGGGGTGGTGCAGCGTGAGAAGGAGGCTTGGATGGGCCGGTTCTGGGCACTGGAGCAGGAGAAGACATCATTGGATGCAGAATTGTATGAGCTGAGTCACCTGATGCTGATGAAGGAGAGGGAGGTGCAGGCATTGCAAGCTGCTCAGGGCTACGGGCTGGATTCTGACTGAAACTGGACAGCCTGGGTTCAGTGATGTGTGCGAGCTTTGTTAGTTACAGCGATCTCCAACATCGTGCATTGGTAACACACTTTGCCGCACAAGCTCAGTGCAAAATACACACTGGTACTATGTTATGGTACATGATCCCATGCTCTCCAGAAAGCTATCAGACAAAGACATGTATACACGAGTCCTATATTTAGCAGGATCCTTCTCGTCTGTTGTATTGGTGTAGTACTCCTCAAACAAGAGGCTGCCTGGATACTTCCCCTGTGAACGAATCCATTCATGAAGAGCCTTGTACGCGTCCCCTAATTTCTCGTACGACCCAATGTGCCACATGGCTGCTGCCTTAACTTCAGGATGCGTCACCACAATGATGCCGTTTGCAGGGTCGTCCGGCACTATACATTTGGTTTATAAGAAGGGGGAGAATCGAACAGCGCACGAGATCAGGTAAACTCACCACGCGCCTATGGAACTAGCATGTACAATCACTTCAAACGCCTCAGAAGGTACATTTGTTACAAAATGGAAGGACAAAAAAAGACATCCCGCACTCTTTCAATCACAGAACGCAGCTATAATGGAATGTTCCTTAGCGTGCCCAAGTTGCGAACCATGCATTGTGGAGAGAGCTTCTTTAGACTGCTACAGGACTCAAGGAAGACGGGCAAGCATACCTGTTTTGTCTGCCGAGGAGAGCTTGAAGGGAATCCCACACTCCACGCGGGTGAGGAGAGGCGTGAAGAAGTAGTAGATAGAATAAGGACGGCCGTCCTTCTCTGCTGCGCACTGGCAATAATAGGAGGAGAGGACGGAAGGGGGTGGGGAAGGAAGGGTCATTCTGAAGAGAATCGAAAAGTGGGAAAAGTGGAAACAGATTGACAGCCCCTCATAGGCTGTAACTCAAGCCAGTTGCTGCTGGCGCTGCGTTGCTGTGAATCACTACCCCCAGAATTACTTATTTGCGCGTCTCAGGGAATGAGCCAAAGCGCACCGAAAGTGTAAAAAACAGTCACCTTCTCCAAATGCGACTCGAGCATTGGGAAGGTGGTGCTGCAATTCTGGGCGATGCCGGAGGGATGCAGCACTGCGCGCCGAGCGACCGCCATCTTGCCTTTCGGCAGGCTCACGAATTCGGGAATTTCAGTCGCCGCGTCAGAGTTCTTCGACTCTCCAGCCATGGTATTGCCGCACGAATGAAGGACAGTGAAAGTATATAAAAACGAGAGGACAAGTATAACTTCGACTTCTAAAAGCGCGTGCGTGTGGGAAAACTAAATAACTTCGTGAGACTTCTTGTCTTGGCCACTCTTACAAGCTCACGAATGGCATCGCGCGGGTATTATTCCGGACCCACGCTGCATCACCCCCACAAGAACAACGCAGAACAGAGTTTTCGCTCTGATTGGGCAGCTGCGAGCCAACTCACACAGCATCAAATGGTTTGGGGATATTGTTTGCGGTGCACAGCGGCTTCTGTTTTTCCAAAACGTTTCAAACCGAAACCAATCGGAGACGGTTTATCTTCGTTGTCAGCTCCACGGCAGGAGGAATCTTTCCTTAGCCTGCCTCCGCTGACATCGCGAGAATGGGGAGCCAATAGCAGCGTCCCTCGCTAATCCGCGTTAATGAGGTGATGTACGGTACTTTCTTTGTAAATCTTTTTAGATAACTTCCAATGTCTTTCTGTGATGTCCCATTGTTGCTGCTCTTACATTATGATACGGTATGTTGTGCTATTTGAGTCCTGTAGGGCGTGCATGGTTTGTGGCCGCATGTGTATGCTTTAATAACTGTCACGTTGGAACAAACAGTACAGTGATCATACCCTAGCAAGTGTAAGCATTCATGTATATAAACAAAGATCACAGTACCATCATACCCCGGGTAGTAGCGCATATGCGCTTACAATAAATTCATTTTTTTAGGGGGGGTGCTTGTAATTGAGTAACGGCCATAAGCGCCGGCGCTTTTATAAAGGCAAAATTGAATTTCACTGTAAATGGTATCATTCTGGAGCCCCCAATAAGGCAAATACAACATTGTACCATGCGCGCGGGGTCGTGCATGGAATGACGGCGAAACTAGCTGCACAAAACCCGTCCCGGTGCAACGCACATGCCAACACTGATGCAAAACCTGCCGTGCGGCCCAATCAGGTTGGCATGCGCTGCCAGGCAGGAGCATCTCGGCAGAACCATCCAGAACGTGATGGAATCTGCCGTGCCAGCGTAGCATGGATGGTGCCCCCAACCCTCCTCCGCGGGTTGAGGCAGGGGTGTACTCGTCTCTCATCGACGAGGACCCCGAGCCGCAAACCAGAAGGGGTCCCCTTCAATCTCTCATTTCAACACCCATTCTTGCAGTTTTTCATTCATTCTTTTTCTCGCCCGCCTGGCTGCGGAAGCCATGGCGGAATTCACAGGCACTCATTTTCTCTCCAAGAAAAAACCTTCTAGTAGGCCCGTATACCGTGTTACAGCTGACAGGTGGTATAGCCGCATACCACCAGACCCTCCAGAGTCACCACAGCCTCCTGCGCCTCCTGCGCCGCCTGATCCTCCGGCTCCTCCAGTGCCTCCGACCCCCCCTGCTCCTCCTGTTCCTCCGTCTCCTCCGTGTCCGGTGGCCCCTCACGTCACCGACAACCACCCCGTGCTCACGCTCCTACTCCCATCGGCGTTCGACGAGTATCTGTCGGAACCGGATTATAACAAGGGCCCCGATGTTGACGTACCCGCTCCAGCGCCAGCACCATGTTGGGGCCAGCCAGAAGATTTCACGTGGGACGAATCTGCAGTCGGCGCTGACGACGACGTGCAAGACGCCGAGGAAGGTTGGCGCGTTGAGGGCGACGCCAGCGCCGAGGGTGGCACTGAGGCCGACACCGAGGCCGCTACTGAGGCCGGCACTGCTGAGGATGTGTTTCCCGAGGGTGCGCCGGGCGGTGACGACGACGACGGCGTCGAATACTGGTCACGCGATGTCCTCCCCGAGAAACTCCCGATACCAACTTATCCTCCACGTAATCGAAAGCGACCTCACCCTTCTTCACAGAACCGTGATTTGTGAATTAAGAAAACAGGAATGAATTGACTAAGTGAAAGTTGGGTACAAAAAGCAAACCCTAGACAACTGTACCCCATATGTGCTACCCCACTATAGCCTACAGTAGCTATGTCATATAAATCTGACACACCCCCATAGGCAAAGTGGGGGAGAACAAGGGGTCACAAGACCAGTCAAGCAAAGCAAAACAAGCTCAGGGTGGATCACAAAGTCACCACACATTCCGAGCACAAGTTCAAGGCCACAAGGCCAGTTCACATGCAGGATTACATATATATATAAGGCTAGACAAGCAGGAGCAGGTGTATATATATATGCAACAGTACAAACAAGGTCAAGGGGTGAGCAAGTGAGGCAAGGTAGGCACAAGACCCAGCTGAGTACAGAAGCGCTGATGATCACAAGGCGCAAGTGCCTTGGTGAAGATATCAGCAGTGTTGGCCTCAGAGGCCACGTACGCAAGCCGCAGCTGACCACGCTGCTGTAGCTCACGAGCAAGGAAGTAGCGGAGAGCAATGTGCTTCGTTCTGTGCTCCAGTCTCTGCTCTCGACACAAGGCCAGCATGGCCTTGTTGTCTACGTACAGCACTGGAGGAGAACGAGGCGGCTCTCCGAGGTCAGTCAGCAGGTAGGTGAGCCAGCGAAGCTCCTGTGCAGCCATGGCCCCGGCGTAGATCTCAGCCTCACAACTGGAGCCGAGAACAGAAGACGAGCGGGTAGCCCGCCACGAAACAGAGCCGGAACCAAGGCTGAAGGTGTAACCCTGTGACGACCGCTGCGTAGCCTGGTCGTCAGCCCAAGAAGCGTCTGCGTGCCCAGTGAGGACCACTGGACTCTGCCCTCCAAGCACAAGCCCCATGCCCGACGTACTGCACAAGTAACGCAACACCCTCTTCGCTGCAGCCATGTGCTCCGGTCTGTGTCTCCCAGGAGCAACATAGCGTGCGAGAATGCTAAGAGGGTATGCGAGGTCAGGTCGTGTGCAGGTCATCAGGTACATGAGGCAGCCAACAAGCTCTGGGTACGGGCCACTCGACTCTACGGACTCATCCGAAGGCACAGCTGAGAGCGAGTGGGGAGTAGGCAGAGGAGTGGCCTGAGGCGAGGAGTACGTGAAGCCGAAGCGCTGAAGGACCTGCTGCACCATGTGTGACTGAGTCAGGGTAATGGTGCGGCGTGCTCTGTCCCGGGTGATCTGCAAGCCAAGGTAGCTGCGCAGTTCACCCAGGTCTGTGCACGTGTGTCTCTTCTGCAGCTCGGACTTCACGTGGGCGAGTCCAGCAGTGTCAGCTGTGGCGAAGACCAAGTCGTCGACGTACACGAGGATGTAGAACGGCGGCAAAGAAGTGTCGGAGCGCAGAAACAGCGACGGGTCGGCAGTAGAGGGAGCAAACCCAAGAGCCGCAAGTGTAGTCCTCAGTGTGTCGTGCCACTCACGCGGTGCCTGGCGGAGACCGTAGACTGGCCGCCGGAGGCTCCACTGGGTGCCAGGAGGAAAAGACCCAGTGAAGCCAGGTGGGCGACGCAGCCAGATCTCCTCGTGCAGGCTGCCCTGCAAGAAAGCAGTGCTGAAGTCAAGAGAGTGCAGCTCGTAGTCGCGGTGAGCAGCTATGTGCAGCAGTACCCGAAGAGTGGTCATCTTCGGGGTGGGAGAGAAGGTCTGAAAGTAGTCAACTCCCTGCCGCTGACTGAAGCCACGAGCCACGTAGCGCGCCTTGAAGACAGGCGGAGAACCCGGCGGCCGCTTCACCCTGAAAATCCACATGCCACTGACGATGTTCGCCCCAGGAGGGGGAACCTCGTCGACGTAGGTGCCTGTGGACTTCCAGGAAGCCATCTCTGCGTCCATAGCTGCCTGCCACTGAGAGGAGTAGGGACCCTCTATCGCCTCCGCGTAAGAGCGCGGAGTCGGGATGTCAAGTGCATCCGGGTCT